ATCGAAATGGTCCCAACACAAAGCCAGCAAGATCAAGCCCAACCCAGCGGCCCGCTAATGCTTACTGAGGCGAACTCGAAGAAGAACACGGGATATGCGTTCACGAACAAGCGCAAGTGGGCAATTTTGACTGTAGTCGGACTCTGCCAAACCAGTATGAATTACAATGCAGCGGTCTATTCCAACGCAATAGGGCCACTTAACGAACATTACCACCTGGGTAGCGACCACTTCACCAACGCCAGGGCTGGCATGGCATGGTTTTTGATCCTATACGGTATCGGTTGCGAGCTTTGGGCACCCTGGTCCGAAGAGTTTGGACGTAAACCCATCATGCAGCTGTCACTCTTCACCGTCAACATCTGGCAGATCATGGCCGGTGCCAGTACCTCATGGAGTCATGTACTGGCTGCACGCCTGCTCGGCGGTCTCTGCTCCGCAGGTGGTTCTGTAACCCTCGGAATGGTTGCGGACATGTTCGATCCCGAAGAGCAACAACTCCCTATCCTCTGGGTCAGCTTGTGGAGCTGTCTAGGCTCAGTCATCGGTGGCATTTGCGGTGGCCCTATCGAGCAGTTCCTTCACTGGCGATGGAACTTCTGGATTCAGCTCATTCTTGGGGCCACAGTCCAGCTCATCCACTTCGTCTATGTTCCCGAGACCAGGTCGACGGTCATGCTCAACAAGGAAGCTAAGAAGAGCCGCAAGCAAAACCCAGAGGCCAACGTCGTTGGGCCAACCGAACACGAGAAGCTTGACTTCATGGCTTGTCTCAGGATCATGGGTCGTCCATACAAAATGCTAGTCTGCGAACCAATCGTTGGCTTCCTGTCACTGCTCAGTGGATTCAGCGATGCACTCATCTTCAGCTTCTTGGAATCGTACGGGTACGTGTTCGGGAAGGATGGCTGGGGTTTTACTCCTAGTCAGCTAGGACTCGCCTTGTTTGCCCTCTTCATCGGCTACTGGTTAGCAGCGGTGCTGTATTACCCAGTCATACGACGACACAACCAGCAGCGTGGCAACGGTCAAGTGCTCAGCCCTGAGAGTCGACTGTCAGCCCTCCGATGGATCGTACTGCTTCTTCCTATCGGCTTGTTCGGCTCCGCATTCGTAGTTTCTGGCCCACCTCTGCCATGGATCGCACCCCTCATATTCGCCGTCTTGATCGGATGCGCGAACCTTGCCATATATTTTGCCACCATTGACTACATGGTCGCCGCTTACGGAGGAACTTATTCAGCATCAGCCACCGGCGGCAATGGTTTTGCTCGAGATGTCCTTGCGGGTTTATGCTCCTTCTACACCGGGCCAATGTACAAGAAGCTCGGTGTCCAAAATTCGACATGGGTCTTGTTTGCGATCTCCGCCCTCGTGTGCGCCCCGGTCTTCTTCATCTACAAGTGGGGTCCTAGCATCAGGGCTCGAAGCTCGTACGCACAGCGGATTAAGGAGGAAAGGGAGAAGAGTGCTGCCGTCGAGCAAACAACGCAAGGGCAGGCGTAGAGCTTTGTGGGATGCTCTTAGAGTAGAGGCTGGGAGAGAAGATGGAAGAAGAAGGTACAGTGCTGGTGCTCTCCAGATTCATTGGCCGCTGTCTGTTCATTTTATGATAGGTTGGTGTTTGCTGTCCCGTATTCTTTCCTTTTGGCATATTGCCGTGCATGTACCTGTTGCCAACCACGTAGGGCAGCGCCTCTCTAGGGGGATTGTCGCGTGTTACTTGCCGATCAGATTATAGATTCTTCGACCTCAATTTTATCACTACTAGATCGCCGTCCACTGTGAATATACGAACCCACGTAAGTGGCATTCGTAGGAATCTTACCATTCTGGCAGTGAACTGAATGTGTGTCGAAGATCACGGCCCAAAATAGCGTGACGGTAACGATGTTGAGGTCTGGTCGCGGTTGCTGAGAGATCGTCGAGAAGAGCGTTAGCGTCTCACATGACAGCGCGTCACCCCGCGCATGGGCTCGACCTGCTTCAGCCTAGAACTGTGAAGGCAGCCAACACCACCCGAGACAAATTAGATCGCAGTCCTACGGCGAAGACGACAATGCGCATTTTGTCTGCCGCCATCCCACTCGCCTCGTGACCCCTCCCTACCTAACCCCACAAACATGTGGTTCTTAGAGCACGAGAGCCTTTTCGGAGGCAAGCGCGTCTGGCTCCGTCCTGGGTCACAGCAACTGTTTGGTCGAACCAAGTCCGACGACAAAGACGGACCGCAAGGAACCAATTGGAAGATAGACAACAAGGCTGTCTCGCGCAAGCATGTTATGCTGAAGGTTTACGACGCAGCACCAGAGGACGGCACGAAACTTCACAAGAGGTCGCAAATTGAGGTGACCGACTTGAGTTGTAGGCAAGGAATTACGATCGACGATAAGACGACTGTAAAGAGCCAGAAGGCAACCGATGGATCGATAGAATACAGCCGTGAGACTTTGAAGGGCACTGAGCATACCATCAGACTGGCTGCTAGCTATGCGCCTTTCAGAATTGTTTGGCGCCCAATCGTCTTTACTTATGCTTCAAAAGAGTCAAGAGAAAGCAAAATCAAAAGTGCGCAGTTGCATGCCCTGGACATCAAGACCACAGCCGACTTCGTATTCAACCAGACCACTCACGTCATATCCGCGAAACGAAACCTTCCCAAAGTCCTCTCGGGTCTCACTTCCGCCAAACATATCGTCACTACAGAATATCTTGATGCAGTGCTCGGAGTCGCCGCGCCATCGGTCGACGAAGACAATAATTACCTACCTTCGAAGCTGGAACAGGACTTTGACGCATGGTGGCCAGCGGAGAAGGAATACATACCAGCAGCGGGCGCAGAACCGGTTGCGCGACCACAGGAGATGCTGTTGCCTGATCCCTCACGGTCAGAAACATTTTCAGGCTTGACCTTTGTGTTTTTGAACGAAGGTCAATACAGCAGTTTGCTGGACCCTGTCACTGGTGGAGGCGGGAAAGCACTACTATACGATATACGATTGGGCGAGACAACAATAGAAGAGTACGTCGACTACGTTCACAGCGTAGCAGGAAAGAAGCGGCGCGGCAAACCTGGTGATAAGCTTCCCGTTATAACAGTGCGCTTACCAGCGTACCCTGACGAGATGGAAGAATGGGCCACAAACTTTGTCATTGGGGTCGATCAGGCCCTCGGTCAGCGCTCAGTCTTGCAGAATGAGTTTCTCGACGTAATCATCACGAAAGATCGCACCACGATACAAAGGCCGCCCGCAGAAGTGAATGCTCCTGCACCTGCACCAGAAACTATGACAATTCGACGTTCCATGCGTCAACCAACACCAACGTCTGGATCCAGAGCACCATCGCAGGCTCCTGAAGAGAGCGCACCTCTAGCGGAAGAACCTGCAAAGACCATTCCACGGAAGCGCATACACCGACCTAAAACGAGCCGCTTTACCGGGTTTGACGATGACGACGAACCGCTTCCGAAGAAGAAGCTCAAGGTTGAGAATACCCATATGGAGGATGTTCAGCAGTCTGAATCACCTCCAGGGCCATCAAAGTCTGCTTCACAAGCACGTACTACGCTAGGCGCACAACGGGAAGCCTCTCCGCAGTTACACGTACAATCAACGATTGAAAAAGAAGCGCAGATGGATACCCTGTTCCCTACCGCCGCTAGGATGAGGAAGCAGAGAGCGGCTACCCGCGCACCATCAGCATCTGCCGAGCCAGAAGAAGGGGGCTCTGTGAAGAAACCAGCGAAGAGAGGCGCGGAGACTCTTGCGCGGCTCAACAGAGCAGAGAAGAAAGCCGAGAAAGACATTAACATCCGTGAGCATACGCGTCAGCGCATCAAAGAAGAAGAGGAACGTCGTAAGGCGGATGAAGACAGTCTACGGGAAGCACTCGAGGGCATCGATATCACCGAGCTGAAGAATCTGGCCAAAGTAGAGGTGATGGACGTTTTACCCCGACAAAACAAAAGTACGGCACGCAACCAAAGTCAGACCAACAGTGTGCGCTGGAACGACGAATGGAATGGTCGAAAAAACTTCAAGAAGTTCCGTCGCCGTGGTGCGGAACAAGGCGTCCAAAGCCAAAAGGTCCTCGTCACGCTTGAAGAAGCACCCTCTAAAAAGACACATGGTATCACCGAGGCCTTTTTCCTCGACGATCCTGAACCCTCTGGTCGCTCATACCATAGCCGACGCGGTCGTACTGCAGCACCCGACTCCGAGTCGGAACCAGAAGTCGGTGGCTTCACTCGCAGAAAACGAACAACGCAGTCCCAGCCACAACAGGAAGTCATCAACGTTGAGGACAGCGGCCCAGACGATGAAGAGGAAGTTCCGGAACAGCGGACGCAGAGGAGTAGCGGGCGGACGCAAAGGGTTGTGGAGACGCAACTCGAAGGGACGCAAGCGTCACAAAGAGGAAAGAAGAGGAGTTCCGGGGCGACCGTAAGTAGCGGGCAGCCTGCTAGTAAGAAGGGGAGGTTTGCGAGGAGGGATGATGACAGCGACGATGAGGAGACAGGGTTTAGGTTCAAGCGGAGGACCTAACACATTTTTGCTGTACCGATTTTTTCTCGATTTATATGTATGCGTGCATGATACCCTGGAAGGAGTGCAGCGATAGTGAGTTAGATATCAACTGCATAGTCAATCATGATATTTAAAAGCATTGTGTTGACTTGCCCCAGCACGGGAACTCACTCCACCGCAGTAGACCTCGATTACCGGAAGCGAAGGATGCGTGTGTTTGAAGTGATTTTGATTCGTAATCTCATAGATAATGGTATAGCGCCCCAACGCCATCTGCCCGCTCATCGAGGTGGAACTTCGAAGCCGGGGTCTTCATTCAACTTCGTGCCATGTAGATATTCCCAGACTGTACCCAGTCCATCCGGCGCAGTGCAAGCTTCCAGAGCTCCAATCGCCCCACCCACTTTTCGCGGCGTTTCATTGTCCGCACACCGCGTCGCTGTGACCTGATCCTATTCGATATGGAGGCATCTATCGCTTGCGCTCGAAGTAGGAGCTGGAGCCGAAAAATGCTACACTCGAGTCCATGACTGTCTCGCCAACCCAGAGGTAGCTTTCAAACCACTTCTGGGCGCTGGGGTTCTCGCCGAATGTATCTGGCTTTACACTGGGACTGGGTTTAGCTTTAGCTCCGATCGTGTAGTTGTAGGGTACTTGTGAGATGGCCCGATATGGAGTGTGGAGAACAGGAGGTGGGTGGCGCTTAACGAGGGGGGTTGGATGAGGGAACATACGTGAGGCCAGTTGAGCGTCGGACGCCGGCAAGGAAGGCGGATACTGAAGCAATGTTAGCGATGGGTCAGGCAGGCGTGTTTCCAGTGCACGTACTTAATACCGCATCGAAGGCGTAATGTGCGACTTTGCCGAGCTGTTACTTGTGTGAGCTAGGGAGCATGCGACTCGGTGGTCCGACCGACAAAGTAGTAGGCACCGTAGAGGAGTATGGTACATACAACCATGATGGGCGACTTTTTGGGCGGAAGAGGTGGCGGATCGGTATGGGGTGGTATGGGGCTGCTGGGGAGAGCGAGGCGATGAGTGTCTAGGGGCTTGTTGCAGGTGTGGGTGGTGTTGTCGTGTGTTGTTGAGCGAAGGATGCGGGATGCGGTGTAGGGTGGAGGAGAGACCTAGTGTGGCTGGTGCCGCGACTTAGTCACTCGTCTGCATGTGATTGAGCTGGCACGCGACTCCAGGGCTCCCTTGTTTCTAGTCTAGAATACCGTACTGCTATCTGTGTGACAACTGCACCCGTTGATCGTGTTCATGTGTTCTCCATAATTATCTGGGTGCTACTGCGGCCAGGCTGTTTGTAGGCTGCCCCGGAGGCTCAGATAGGGCTGCTACCTGCGATCGTCTCCACTAATATGGAACTGGAGCATAATGTCGCATCAATGGGACCCTTCCCTTTGACCTCGGGCAAGCCATGCGGAGCAGTTGCGGGTGATTTAGGAGCGGACCCTACGACGTGCTGCACTTGGTATATAACAGGGCCTGCCGCGACGTAGTCCATGGGTGAAACTTTCTGGACCCCATGAACCTCCAAGAACACACCACCCATCTCCGCGCGGGTAACCCACTCTGAAAAATCGAGACACGCCAGCAGCCGGCCGCGCATTACCACAACTGCCCACTAGCCAGATACGCCCAGCGGGAACGCGGCGCCGAGATTTTCAATTGCTGTGCAAAAACAGTACACGTTTGACGGCTTATCTGGGCGGGATGTCTGGGTGCAATGATGCAGGAACGTGGGTGGAGTCGAAGAAGCAAATGGGTGTCACAATACTTGCCCATGGGACAGATTCAGCAGTACCGTCAGCAGATCGCTCGGCGCATAACGAAAGCCTTTTATTCAACCAAACCGTCTCCAGACCATTTCCTGACTCCAATCTGTTTCCAATTCTCATATCCAAACGGCCGCCGCTCAGGGTTGCAGCGCCCCACGTCGTACTAATCAGCATAACTAGCGCCTAGACTAAACTGCCCCTCCAAAACGCGCTCAACAGCCAACAAAACTTCTAGCCCGTCGCAGTAGAAGATAACCCCCGTCGACCGCCATTTTTGAAGACACAATTTGCCCACCTCTCTTCTTCTTCACCAACCGTCGCCAAACCCATTGGAGTTCTCTATAAAGACTCCTTCGACCGGCCCCGCACTCCGCGACAGCGACTCAGACTTTCCCCTCCACCACCTCTTCTCTCCAAAACACCGTCCACAAAATGGCGAACGCGTATGTAAATTGTGATTTCTTAGTAAAGACTCGGGGCGGCTTCGTACACTGGATTGTATGATTTATATCCAGAGCCGAACGCGCTGGAAAAGGTCTCTTCTATAGAGGCATATAACTCATAAAACACCCACTGACACCCCCACCAGTCTAGACCACCTCAACTCCGGCAGGACCAGGATCGAGTGGCTCAGCCAGCTCAACACTGAGTACACACCTGCACGGGAGTACCGAAGAACCTCCATCATCTGCACCATCGGTCCCAAGACAAACTCCGCCGAGAAGATCAACGCCCTCCGCAAAGTTGGTCTCAATGTCGTTCGCATGAACTTCTCCCACGGCTCCTACGAGTACCACCAGTCCGTCATCGACAACGCGCGCGAGGCCGAGAGGACACAACCCGGCAGGCCTGTGGCTATTGCCCTCGACACCAAGGGCCCCGAGATCCGAACTGGTAACACAGTCGGAGATGCCGATATTCCCATCAAGGCTGGCTCCATCATCAACATCACCACTGATGAGCAATATGCCACCGCTTGCGACGACAAGAACATGTACGTCGACTACAAGAACATTACCAAGGTCATCGCACCTGGCCGCACAATCTACGTCGACGACGGTGTCCTCTCATTTGAGGTCATTGAGGTCACAGACGACAAGACACTCAAGTGCAAGTGCGTCAACAACGGCAAGATCTCGTCCAGGAAGGGTGTAAACCTGCCCAAGACCGACATTGACCTTCCCCCGCTATCTGAGAAGGACAAGGCCGATCTCAAGTTCGGTGTCAAGAACAAGGTCGACATGGTCTTCGCCTCGTTCATCCGCCGTGGAAGCGACATCACTGCTATCCGCGAGGTGCTCGGCGAGGAGGGCAAGGACATCCAGATCATTGCCAAGGTCGAGAACCAGCAAGGTGTAAACAACTTCGACGAGATTCTGAGGGAGACTGACGGTGTCATGGTCGCTCGTGGTGACCTTGGTATCGAGATCCCACCCAGCCAGGTCTTCATCGCTCAGAAGATGATGATCACCAAGTGCAACATTGCCGGCAAGCCCGTCATTTGCGCAACTCAGATGCTCGAGTCCATGACCTACAACCCACGCCCAACCCGCGCTGAAGTCAGCGATGTTGGTAACGCTGTCCTCGACGGTGCTGACTGTGTCATGTTGTCTGGAGAGACAGCAAAGGGTGACTACCCCGTAGAGGCTGTCACCATGATGCACGAGACTTGCCTGCTCGCAGAGGTCGCTATCCCATACGTCAACGCTTTTGACGAGCTGAGGAAGCTGGCTCCTGTCCCATGCCCTACCACTGAGACGTGCGCTATGGCAGCTGTCAGTGCCAGTCTCGAGCAGAACGCCGGTGCCATCTTGGTCCTGACAACGAGGTAAGTTCACTGACATGTTGTACACCTGTGATTCTAGGTTCTAACGTGCATTAGTGGTACCACCGCCCGCCTTGTCTCCAAGTACCGCCCCGTTTGCCCCATCATCATGGTTACCCGCAACGAGATGGCCGCTAGGGTGAGTTTCTTTTTCTCTTGTGCACAAGGATTCCTAGGCTAACTTCTGCAGTATTCCCACTTGTACCGCGGCGTATATCCATTTTACTTCCCCGAGGCGAAGCCAGACTTCAAGACTGAACCATGGCAGGAGGATGTTGACCGCCGTTTGAAGTGGGGAATTATGAACGCCATTAAGCTCGGTGTTCTCAACAAGGGCGATCCAGTCATTTGCGTACAAGGCTGGAGAGGAGGTATGGGCCACACCAACACACTCCGCATTGTCCCCGCACAGGAGGACCTTGGTCTTGACCAAGACGCGTGAAGGTAGGGTTGGAGCGGAGACGTGCGGTGCTTAGATAGAGGGTGTGGAGTGCGCTGCATGAGGCGCATATACATGACTCGTTTTCGCAAATGACGGTCTGGCGCATAGGGACACAAGATTAGGTGTAAACACTAGCGGATCAAGCGAACTCTTTAATGACCACCTCTTCTTATGATTTCGAGTGATCGCCGCATGCTAAGCTGAGACAAAGACATAAGTGATATCCCACTGCAAGGCGGCACAACAAGGCATCCAAGGGTGACATCGTCCGTGCGCCAGCAACACTAGCCTTCTGTACACGATGGTGAGTCCGACGCACAACCCTACCACAACCCACGATGGACATATCTGCGCTAGTAAATCACGATGGGGAAGCCTCGGTGCTACCGCGCCGTTCACTCTCCAATCCCCAATCACTCTTCTCATCCTCCCCCGTCACTCCCGCCGCAAAGATACCGACGCCTAAACCCAGCCAGAAGCAGATGTCGCTCAAGCGGAAGCGCCATGACCCCAAGCCGATATGGGCCTATCGTGAAGGCGAAGAACTCCCGCCTGAGCTCAAGCAGCTGCAAGAGCAACAACGCCAACAATCACGTCCGCCTCCACCTGTCATAGCCCAGCCGCAGCCGCATGCGCAAGCTATACCATCGCATCACCCGCCGCCTCGACCTCAACCTTCACCCAACGCCGAGCGCAACGGACACGCGCCGAGCGAAACTGGCGCGCCTCCCCCAGCAGTCGGTGCTCCCGGACTCGCGGGCTTCGAGCGACCCATCTCAGACGATGCGCAAATCTACGATGACGTCTCGCGTAACGTATGCGACTTCATATGGAACACGGCTGTCAACAACGAAACAGTGCGCAACGCCATCGTGGATCCAAAGGTGCAGCTCGAGGTCGAAGCACGCTGGGGTCAGATCCTCGAGAAAACGACGAACCAGCGAATACGCGGCTTCTGGCGCACCGAAACCGTAATAAACACCGAGATGCTAGAAGTCAAGTTCGAGAGCACTATGACTGTTCAACAACACAAGCGTATGAACATGTACCTCAACACGCAGGTCCAACATTCCAAGACATCTGGAGGTTCACGTCCCGCGATCGACTATAGACATACCTACGAGACGGACATTTTTTATGAACTCGACCAGGACGGCTTCTCCAAGTTGAACCCTATAGTCCAGCGCCTCATTAGCGCATCTGGAAGCCGACAGAAAGTCCGTGTGACGCGCGACATGAAGACGGGCGAGTTCCTACGAGCCATCATAAAACACCGGATAGGCAACCTCGAAGTCAGCTCTCCCAAGACGGAATGGGATTACCGCATCGGCATCAACCTCGAAATCGACTTTCCGGGTCCGATCGAGAGCCTCAAGCCCGCTCTGGAAGGAGGCAAGACACTGGAGAGTATGCAGCGGCAAAAGGATCGCATGTCGTACTCGTGGCTGGGCGCGTACCAAGTCGATCTGACCCAGGTCACGCAAGGAACCAGCAAGAACCACGAGCTAGAGCTCGAACTGGACTCTGGTGTTCTCATCGCAGAGGCGGACAAAGTGAGGCGGAAGGAGGTGACCAAGTTTGAGAGCTTGATCAACGGTATGATGAATAATCTGCGGGTTCTGTCGCGTGAAATCACGCCTCCTGTTCCCGGTGCGTAGACAGGAAAGCGCTGGAGAAGGAGCTTGTATTACTACTACTACTACTATTATTATTTCTAAACGGCGTTGAACACCCGGAAGCATACGAGGGCTCAGCAGCATGGGGTGGAGTTTACACATTCAAATCAAGATACCCAATTCTCGCTATGTTGTATTACATCTGATGATTGATATGAAGCCTGACATGAATCTAATCATTCATAAACCAACAAGCTCTCGAGACTTGTTCGCTGTAGACACCTGTGTGCTGCATAAACATGCAGACTGTCATCCGAACTGTGCAATGCTAATGACGTGGAATGTCTGCCTAGGTAGAGCTTATCGTGGGTGATGCGCAAGTAGCGTATTATGTCATGCTGAAGTGGACCAGGGTCGCCGCTTCCGAAACTCACGAGCTACTGTTTAGACCATCACGTACACGATTCCCCGAACATCACAACGGCGCCACGCCATCCCCCCATCAGCCGCCCACCCTCATCTTCTCGTCCCTCTTTCACTGCGACCGTCACTATAGAGTCCGACGCAGCACCGCCTCAGATTATCCTTTGACCCCAGGCAAGCCCGCAGGCGCCACAGCGCAGCTCCATACGCTTCTACCCACTTCCGCAACAACAGCTCTCACCCTCACCACAACCGCCGACGGCCATTCAACAACACCAGGCCACACGTCGCCCCCGCCAGAAACAACACAATGGTTGGCCTCACGTCCGCCGCCGGTGTCGTCGGCTTCCTCTCGGAGCCAGACCCGGCCCTGCGCTCATTCGCCCTCCAGCGGCTGAACGAGGAGATCGACCTTCTGTGGCCAGAGGTCGCGGGCTCTGTCAGTCAGATGTAAGAAACCTAGCGGAGCTTCTACGCGCTCTCGTCAGCCCATCACTATCGGAGCAGCTGCTAACATGGGTGCGTCATAGTGAGGCTCTCTACGAAGACGAATCGTTTCCCGAGCGAGAGCTTGCCGCTCTAGTAGCCGCAAAGGTGTACTACCAGCTGCAAGAGTACAATGAGAGCATGGTCTTCGCACTGGGTGCCGGCAAGCTCTTCGATATCCACAAGGCCGCCGAGTTCGAGGAGACAATACTGGGTAAGACAACACGGACACCTGAGCCTTCCAATCAGCTCACGACTACTTTCATCTTAAGCTGAAGCAGTGGATTCATCATACTTGGAGCACAATCGGCTAACTTGCTTTTTCCAGCAAAGTGCTTAGATACCTACATCGCGCTGTCCGTCATGCACAACCCACCTACACCGGTCAGCAAGGCGAGCCAGGCCCCGCCGCAACTTAGCACATCGTTCTCTGGGAGTGCAGCAGGAGGTGCCAGCACTTCAGCTAGTCTGGCCTCTCCGATAACGCCCTTCTCACAGTCCGCGTTACCCTCCAAGTCACTTCTCTCTAGGGAAGATTCGTCAACATTCGATCCTACTGTCCCAGGTGGAGGTAATGCTGGCGTACCTGGAGCACATCCCACCCCGATGGTGTTACAGCGAAATGTCCAGAAGAACCTCCACGACACTGTGCGACGAATATTCGAGAGCTGCTACCAAAGCGGCAACTACAAGCAGGTTGTAGGAATCGCCATTGAGGCACGGAATCTTGAAGTTTTGAAGGAGTCAATCATCCGCGCGAGCCAAGATGGAAAGAAGCAGGGCAAGAAGCCTGCACAGCCTTCTGCACAGAGCGAGGATTTGATGGAATACGTCCTGGACATCTGCATGAATGTGGTGCAAGAGCGAGGCCTGAGGAACGAGATTCTCCGCCTGATCTTGGATCTCCTCAACGATCACCAAATCCCGAACCCCGATTACTTCTCCATTGCCAAATGTGTAGTGTACCTCAACCAGCACTCACTCGCTTCAAAGCTCATCCGACAGCTGATCGAGCGCGGCGACGACAAGTCTCGCGCAGTCGCATACCAGATCTCGTTCGACCTGTACGAGAATGGCACACAAGAGTTCCTCACAAAGGTCATGGAGGAGCTGCCAGAAGCTGAGAAGGAGGAGCAGAAACCTACGGAAGCAGGCGAATCAGACTCTCTGCTTGCAGACGTGGACACTAGCAACTCAAAGGGTGACCAGCCGAGTGAAGATCAGATCAAGGTCTTCAACAATGTTCGCTACATCCTTCGCGGAACCAAGAGCATTGAGCTGAACCTCGAATTCCTTTACAGAAACAACCGCACAGACAAAGCCGTGCTGAACAAGGTCCGCGACAGCTTGGAGGCCAGGAACTCCATATTCCATTCCAGTGTCACATTTGCAAACGCCTTCATGAATGCTGGCACTACTAATGACACATTCTTCCGCGAGAACCTGGAATGGTTAGGAAAGGCAGTGAACTGGTCCAAGTTCTCCGCAACCGCTGCTCTGGGTGTCATCCACCGCGGCAACATCACACAAGGCCAGAAGCTCCTTGAGCCTTATCTTCCCAAGGACAGCGTTTCGTCAGGCTCTCATTATGAGCAGGGTGGATCACTGTACGCTCTTGGTTTGATCTACGCCAATCACGGAAGCAATGTTCTTGATCTGCTACTCAAGCAGTTCCAGAATGCATCTGAGGAGGTCATCCAGCATGGCGGTGCGCTCGGTCTTGGTGTCGCTGGTATGGCCACTGGCTCCGAAGAGATCTTCGAGGCGTTCAAGAACGTTCTATACACAGACTCTGCCATCAACGGTGAGGCTGTCGGTCTCTCAATGGGTCTCGTCATGCTCGGCACTGGTAACATCAAGGCACTCGAAGATATGATCCAGTATGCGCACGACACCCAACACGAGAAGATTGTTCGTGGTCTTGCCATGGGTATGGCACTGATCATGTACGGTCGACAAGAGGCTGCCGATGAGCTCATCAACGGGCTCCTTGACGACCCAGACCCAACTCTGCGCTACGGAGGTATCATGACCATCGCTTTGGCGTACTGTGGTACAGGTAGCAACAAGGCCGTCCGGAGGTTACTCCACGTTGCGGTCAGTGATGTAAGCGACGACGTACGAAGAGTTGCAGTCATGAGCCTGGGCTTCATCCTCTTCAGGAAGCCAGGCAGTGTACCCCGCATGGTCGAGCTTCTCGCAGAGTCATACAACCCACATGTGCGCTACGGAGCCACCATGGCTCTTGGTATTGCATGTGCCGGAACTGGCCTTCCCGAGGCTGTAGATCTGTTGGAGCCCATGATGAAGGACTCAACCGACTTCGTCCGACAAGGCGCTTTGATTGCGTTGGCCATGATCATGGTGCAGCAAAATGAGGCGATGAATCCCAAGGTAGCGTCTATCCGAAAGCAGCTTGCCAAGGTTGTCAGCGACCGCCATGAGGATGCCTTGGCCAAGTTGGGTGCTGCTCTAGCTATCGGTATCATTGACGCTGGAGGCCGGAATTGCACAATCGGCCTGCAGACGCCGACTGGTAACTTGAACATGGCCGCTATTGTCGGCATGGCTGTCTTCACGCAGTACTGGTACTGGTTCCCTTTGACTCACTTCTTGTCATTGAGCTTCACATCTACTGCAGTCATTGGTCTAGACCAGGAGCTGGAGATTCCGTCGTTCAAGTTCCACAGCAACACGAGGCCAAGCACGTTCGATTACCCACCAGATGCAGAGGTCAAGGCTGAAGAGGCGCCCGAGAAGATCAAGACTGCCGTTTTGTCGACAACCGCTCAAGATAAGCGACGACGAATGGTAAAGGAGCGCCAAAAGCGGAGGGAAAGCATGGACGTGGATCATACTCCTACCACACCTAAGCCTGCAGACGACGATAAGATGGACGTCGACGAGGATCCTAAGAAGGAAGATGGTGAGAAGGCCGATGGTACCCAATCCGTGGAGCCATCGAAGAAGAAGGAGAAGGAGAAGGTTGGCTATGAACTGGAGAACATGTCGCGTGTACTGCCGCCACAAGTGAAGTACATCAGCTTCCCAAGCGAACGATATGTACCAGTGAAGAAGGTTAGTAGCCCACATACCACATGGAAGATGCCTAAGCTAACACACTCTCAGCCAACTCTCGGTGTCATTCTTCTCACAGACACCAAGCCTTCAGAACCAAAGACGCTCTTGGAGCTCAAGGTAAAGAAGGCCGTGCCTGCCCCTGCCCCTGGCGCATCGGGTTCCTCGGGAGATCAAGGCCCAGAAGGCGTATCAGTAACAACTGCTGCAGCGCCGGTCAGCGACAATATGGTGGATGAGGGTGAGGCCGAAGCGTCGACGCCGGGTGAGTTTGTCTACGAATCGGACACGAACCCGGACGACGACGAATAGACGACGCCGGCGGTCACGGTAGTGAGCGGTCTATACTATTAGCCCAGCCTATTGGGGGTTGGAGATGGGACACAGTGGAGGAGGGTTTTTGCATTCACCATAGGTTATAGGGAGGCTTGTAGAGCTACCTTTCCCCGTAAGCTATTTTAGACTAGGATGCATGTATAATAGCCAGAGAAGAGGGTTTATCACTTTGATACTGAATGATCTTCTGGCTTGCTTTAGTTGGTGACGTGATGATGTTGGTGTTAATCTTCCAGGATCTTGCATGGAACAATATACAAAGGATCAGACGACCATGAAGATCCACGGTCCTCTCAGAAGCCGCTGGAACATATGCCGGCAGTGGAAGGTGGGACGGCAATATGAATAGATTGATGGGCCTGCAGTGGCAGTGGCGAGTGGAGCTGAAACCCAGAATTACGACAGTAAACCAGAAGTAGACATTCCGGAAGAATCTACTGGCCAAGAGCTTGATGATTGTGAATGTGATTTATTGCTAACAGCGTTTCTTCGTAGAGGGAGTGGGCGTTGGTACGACGCTGTTCTGGATGGTGTGCGGGTCGCACCTCCCCTGCGTTCCCCGGATTATTCGGTCCGCTAGCTTGGTTTGCGGGTGGAGAGGTGCGACAAGGGCTGTCTTCTAGACTTCATCTTTCGCAAACATCAAGATTGGCGACAGCGAAAGCAACAACGGGAAACTTGTACCGCAGAATTCAGAGTATCTTACTCGCTTCTCGTTC